AATGATTAATCGCTGAGAATCAAAACATGAACATAAATCACCGAAATCTAAAACTGTTTCGTAAACGAGCCAGAAAAATGACTGGGTTTCATGTAAAAAATTGGTAATCGTGTATGCTGGAAATCTATGCGACCCCTAAGACCTTAATTCCAGCTGATGTCCTTTCCCCTGCATGCGGAAAGAAGCCAAAACACAGCCACCATGAGCCCAAATGTTAAACTATAATGCAGGAACCATTCCTGCTATTAACAATCTGCAAATTTAACGCAACGTATGATTGCACCGGCAAGCCTTATGCGTTGCAGCCTGGGTTGAGTTACAATATTAGCTCGAGTTTTTGAAAAATAATTTCACAAAATGATTTTAGCCTTGCAAGATGCTGTAGCCTTAAAAATTGCAGCTTTAGTAGTTCTAGAACTGAATTAGACTGTTAGATGCTCGCACCTACACGCAGACCATGTCTGCATGTTAATGCATTTTCACTTGCCCGAATCATTTTACGCAAGAAGTACGAAAATGAAAAAAATGCAGATGAAAGAGCATAGTGTTTAGCTACTGAATGAGGAGACATGGGCTGCGAAGTTCATTTTATGCCTAAAAAATTTAGTCAGAGGAATCAAATCCATTCAAAGGCTCAAGTAGCAAAAACGGCGCTCTTTTTTGACTGAATTTGTTTTGGACGTATTAATTTGAGATAAAAATAGATATCGTTCTACAAGTGACAAAACTCCTACCAAAATATGAAAGCTAATAAGGGATATTTCTTGTCAAAAAGGAAGCTTAACAACAATAGCAAGATCAGTAACAATAATAAGAACAGTGCATTTGATCTGAATGGGGTGATCCTAATTCACATGCCTCAAATCCATTTAGGGACCATATCCGTTTGGTTTGGATCCAGTATGGAGCGCAGCTGAGAACAAACTGAGCTATTTGAATCCACTGAAAATGAAGCTGTCTGTGATTATTGGCGTATCGCAAATGACTTTTGGTCTCGTCCTCTCGCTTTTCAATCACATGTAAGTTTCATTTGTAGTTTCTGTTTTATAGGTTTTTATACAGTGTGTACTTTGTGGCATTTATTGCATCATGATTATTCGAAAACGCATCACGGAATTGCTAGAATGAGAGAAAGAAACAGTTCTTATGTATTCTTATGTAAAAAATTCTTATGTTATGGAAGAAATGACTACAAACTCACAAAATTTCTAAGACAAACAGTGAATTGAATTTCAAGATTTGAAATGAGCAGATCGTAAGGAAATGTGTTATTTAACTAGGTACTGTAGTAATCTTGCTCTTGTCACATATGAATTAAAGTCACGATAAGCGTTTTCAACTTTAGATATGTTCATTAAAAAACCCAGGCTGAAACACACCAGGCTAGCCGGTGCGATCATGTAGAGCTCCCAAAGTCTCTACATTTATGCGGAAAAAAGTGTACAGAACCCAGTTTTACTGAGTTTTTAAAAATTTTTTCACTCGCTATGACAGTCGGCTGAAGTGCAGATTTACTGTTATTTTTTGTGCTGTGAAAGACAGGAATTTAATCAAAAAACGATCAGCAAGCACAAGTGCGAGTAATTTATTTAGTAAATGAATTTTGCAGCTATTTCAAATCGGTGGTGGATATCCTTTTTGTATGGATTCCAGAACTTTTATTCCTGGCATGCATTTTCATCTATCTTTGTATACTGGTAAATTTATTTTTAATTTTGAAAAACAACAGGCATTGAACGATAGAAAAATGCATGCACTTGCAGTTTGTTTAGTTAGAGTTCCTGCATCATCCTTTTTTAGTTAGAGTTGCAAAAACTTTTATGGAA